TCCTTGTCTAGTAAATTGTAGTCACTTTTTCAGAATGCTGTGTTCAATTCAGAAAGTGTAACATGGACTAACATTGCGCTCACCCTGTGTTCTGATAAGCTGCCAATAACCTGGGCCATGGCAGTGTGAAAGGGAAGGCAGCACATTAAGAACAGCTTCATATCCAGCTATAGCTCAACCCAGATTACTTTATCTATCTATAAAGCAAAGTTCATGGGAGGTAGATTTCACCCCTAGCTGTGACTGTCTTATCACACTTACACTACCACTACCTCTTATCTGATTTCTGCACAAATTTCCAAGTCAAAGAAATCAAATGCGTTTTTTAGCCTTTAAAATCCAAGGTGGCAAAATAAACACATATATAGGAGGGAATTAAATATAATGAGAAAACTAATAATGCACACCACCGTGCATTTTAAAAATTAACCACAGAGGCCTTCAGTCTGATCTCTGATATCCATATATCCACTGCCATATTTCTTGTGTGATAACGTATTTTGCAGTACATGCTTATTCATCATAGCCCAAAAAAGCTCTGAAAAGTCAAGCTGAAATTTAAACAAGTGTTTGGCATCTTTAGTTTGTGTTAGACCAGGTGGCAGCTGTTGGGAGATAATTTTGTTTTAACAACTTTTTGTTTTGTTAACAAAGAAAAACTTTGTCCAGCCAAATCCTGCTGACACTGAATAAATATTTTTCCTCCATCAGACCAAATATTTTCATTTGCCATGCTATCAGCTAGAGTTGGAAGATCTGAAAAGATTTTTCTTTCTATATGGACTCAAATATATTTGAACGGTTTGGTATTTTATGGGAGGTAATACTCTGTACTCTGCACTCCTGAGGTTAGTCTGGAGCACTGCACCACACTTTGGTCATTATACATCCAAAAATGGAGGGATTTCTAAGGAAGGCAAACAAAAGGCAGAAAAACATGACCTCTGCAGAAGGACTGAGGAAAGTGGAAAATCAAAAAAGTTTATTGACAAATCTTCTCGTGTGTACAAGATGGTAATGACAATATAAAGATGACCACATGCTAGCACTGGAACTAGGAATATTTGACCAAATATGAGTCTGAGCAAATCTACGGAAAAGGATTCCATTGGAACCTGTTAAGCTGACACCCACCACCACTGGGTCAAAAGCCCCTGCACCAGAAACTGCTGAGGAATAGCCTGGAGAAGTATCACTACACATAGTCTTCTCCATCGTCTGCTTAATCCCTGCCACAGACAAGATCCTAGAGCAGCCTGGCCCTTTATACTGACCAAGTGCCATTCTCACACTCTTGCTCTTTCAGATGAGATAGTATGAAACCTGTTAATTCTAAAACACAATCCTGGGAACAAGCCATTTGCACAACAGCCACCCTTCACAAAATAGTTTAAAGAACAAGGGCAGTTTAGTACACTTGTCCTCTTGTTTGTTAAAAAAAAAAAGGAAAAAAAGAAGAAAGGGATAACCTACATGATCAAAAAATTTATTCTGGGCAAACAACTCCACACAGTCCACCATATAACTGGGTTTTTATTACCAACCAAATTAATGAGAAAGTTGCAAACTTGACACTTCTGAAAAAATTAAAATTCCCAATATTGTAACAAACAGTCACACAGAGACAGATGTGCTTGGGACAAAGTCTAAAATCTCAATAAAACTGTCTACTCTACCATATTCCATCTTGCACTTAGAAATCTAAGTACAAGATTCAGTAATTTCCAGCAATCCTCTGCTGGGAGTAAAACGGTTTCATCTTGCCCATAGTCGACAGAGGCACATTTAATTGTATTTGAAAGATGCTCTTGTATCTGTAACTCTCTACATTTGCTTCCATGATACAACCGTTTAATTTCTGTCAAGAAAACACACATTTAACAAAAGGGACAAGTTACCTTCTTATCACAGATCTTTGTCTAGATTTAAGTCTTTACCTAGATCTTCAGCTGTAAAGTGAAGTGATATAAAAAGATGTAGTGTTAGACTGCAATCCAATCCAAGAAGCAAGTATTGTCTTTGAAATGCTTTCCAGGTAGTATAGATGGAGAAGAAATTATTTAACCCTTGTTAATTGTACTTGTTTATTTACTTCACAGAACTGCTAATTGGAAATGGGATAGGGAAAATGCATTTATTGTTAGCTCTGCTCTTCCCAAAGGATTTTGGCTGCTGATATTCTTTGTCAACCCATAATTTAGTATGGACTTCCTGCTAAATGTTTCAAAAAGTTACAAAGCTCTAAGAAGCAAATGTTCTGTTTTCACAAAAATCCCTATCTCGGGTAAAGAGCCAAAGAACACAGAACAGCATTCAGACCTTGACATGCTCAATATATTAAGACAACTCATAAGAGCTAATGCACACTTTGGTGTGTTCATAAACATTGTTTTAAAGGCAGTAATAAATTATGAAAAAAAAGTCTGTCAGGTTCATGAAGGAATCTACAGCACGTATATACAGTCCTTTCAAATGACATAATTATGAGGAAATCTGGATCATAACAGAGTGTATGACATACATAGAGGGAACCTGGTTATCAAATCAAGAGAAGTCAGGCTTTGTGCTTTGTACACAGTTAGCAATATTTTTCTTCAGGGAGAATATTAAATAGATTAAAATAAATGACCTGATGGCTGTTTTATACAGAGGTGATGAGGGGCAAAGAAAACAAGTGAGCCCAGGTGCTCATATGGGCAACTTCTAAAACTGCATTAAGTAAGACCATGGAAATCAGTTAAACTGCTTGTAGAAAATCTTTTTGTTCAAACTAGGATCAGGACTTCCGCCAAAAAGTCATCGTTTGATCATAGCCATGCCTAATGTCAAGGCTGTAATTTCACACTACACCATCTTTGCCAATAATGTTAATGTGGGCAATCCTGAGCCTCAGGCCAGCAACACAGTATGTGCTGATACAGGCATTTGTAGGTAACTGCTGTTACTGCATTGCTGCAGTAAGAATGGTGAAAAGCAAAAAAGCCTAAAAAAGGGTGCATTTTTGACCCAGGTGGACTCATTAACTGGTTTATAACACGGCCACAAAACCCCATGTTGACACATCTGCTGGATAGAAATGAACAACTCACGAAGGATAGGTTTTTTTAGGCCAGTTTCATTACCAAGATCAGCATATAATAAAACTAGGCCCCAGGTGAGTCACCAAAGTAGATTCTCCAGGATTTTCACTAAGGACTGAAGCAAAGGAATAAAGAGATAGCAGCTTATATAAATGTGAGATCTGTCACCGATTTCAGTACCAATGCAACTCAGGCTACTACTGACTTCATCTGAAACTGTGTGCACAGTGATAATTCATATCCTAAATATGATCACATTTCCAAGTTGGTATCATAACCATACACACTGTAAAATGTGATTTGGATCCCACAGAAAAAGGTCAGGAGTACCCTTTCTGGGATACACAGTATCAGTTCATGAGATGATGGTGGACGAATTCATGTAAAAATATTAATGGAAGATACATTTAGGCTGTCAGAACAATTAGCTAGGAACAAAAAATATCTGGGCACTTTGTGAACTTGAGGATCTCAAGTCAAGAATGAGGAAGACTTCTTCAGAAGCATGGCCAATGCTTCAAACACAATCTATCCAAAGCAGCTGTTCTAGACTTGGTAAAAAAAAATTGCTTTCCACGGAGAAAATAAAAGTGTTTCATCATCTCAGCCTAATCTTTAGTACAGAAGAATATACTCTACCACTAAGAGGAGGCTTATCTTCTGAATACACCATGAAAAGCATCTGATTATTTTGTTTTTTCTACAACCTCCTCAAGACATCAACCACTCAGCTTCCAGTCACTTACACAAAATAAAGGGCACAGAACACAGTGTTACTGGTCAATGAAAACTGGCAAAACGTTCTCTTCCCAAAACCTGTGTGTGAAGGAGAGGACAGGCATTATACAGTGAAATAACACTGTAAGTCATATTCTCTTCTCTATCAATTGATATTTACCTCTTTACCATCTGTGAAAAAGTCCACATATTTCACAGTGTTCATGCAAAATTGCTAATACAGGCCAGGGAATAGAAAGAGAACACTTGTTTTCAGACAAACCGTCAAGAGTTCCATCCTAATCTGCTGACCTGCGTTACCTTCCCCATTTTCCATGACACCAACCTAGGAAAGATATTGCTATGCACCACCAGCATCTAAAAAAACTCTTTACTCTATAGAATCTGCAAAACCCAATACATACTCTAAGTAACTGCTGCAGTACTTCGTCCTGGAAGTGTATCTGGGTCCAAGTAGAGTATTCTACACAAGGAAGTGATGCTCTCACCATTAGAGACATGGGAGCTTTGCTTCATTTTGTGTCAGAGAGCAAAAGGAAGAGAGGGCAATGAAACCATTAAGCAGCTCCTCTGTGAGCATCAGTTTCCTGCTCCTTGTAACACCACCAGAGATAAAAAAGGAATTCGCATGACCTCATACCAGACATCCAGACTTCATCATCAGTTAACTAAGTTACAAGAAACAAAACACACAACTGTAGTTCTTTCATGGATTCTTACTCCCACAGGTTAAAGCCACGATCTAAGCAAAAGTGAAAGAACATTAGTGAAAAGCAACTATGGTGTTCAAACAAAATGCAGCATGTTGTTAAGCTCTCAGATAATTTCCTTTAAGAAAATTACTTCAGGACATAAGCAAAAATGTACAATTGATCATTATATCAAATCAAACAATTACATTAAGGTTCAGTTTACAAAAGGTTAACAAACAATTAATAGCTGGCTTAATAGGTGTTTACTTCTCATCTCTGTCAATCCAACAGATAGGTTCTAGATGTCTATAGTACTTTCTACTGGTGTGCTTATAACCTTCCCTAAAATTTACTAAGAACACATTTCTCTAACATGAATTACAACTGATACAAATAATTTATTAACCCCTCATAAAATTCTAAATAAACTTTAATATGAAGCATGATTAATTTTATACTATTTCAGCCCCATACCCCAGGAGACATCAAATACTAGCTCTTTCAAGTTTTTATTTAAAATTCTACATTTTAGCTGGGTGCCACATCACTAGTCGCAGAATCACAAATGCCTATCGTGGCTTAGCCAACACACTGCAGACACAAGAAGTGAATCAAAAGTGGTGGAGGAAGATCACAGGGAACAGTTCAGGTTCTTCCAAAAGAAATGTCCTGGCTTTTTTTTGTTGGAACAAACACTGATACCATGATAAAATAATCAGAGAGAAAAAAAAAATGGAGTCTGTTGTAAATCAAAGCATTTTTCCTTCTTTTTAGAAACAAGAAACTATAATATAAATAAATAAAACAGAAAACACAAAGGTAAATTCTAACCCCCCTTACTAGGATCTTAAAAAGGGACCAGCCATCTCTTTTTTGGATGCAGCCTAAACTTCTCTTACCTGCAAAATTTCAATATACTTAGAAGTCCTATTTAGTGTATCAGTCTTACGGAACACGATGTATTATATTTAAGTCTCCTTTTTTCCATCCAGTATTTTCAGCTTCAACCCCCACCTTAGGTTTTTTTTTCCATCAAACCGCCTGCTGTTGGTTTAATAAAGTTGGTTTAATAAAAAGCTCAGACTTATACTTTTCCTTCACTTTCAGAGCCTCTCTCTTCATTTTCACAGTTCTCCACAAGGTCTTCATTCTCCTGTGTATTTTCTTCCTCCTCCACCTCCTCCTCCCCATCATCTCCAAAAGTCTCTTCCTGCATTGTAGTAAAAGTGAAAGACCTGGCAGCAACTTGTGCAGCCAGACCAGATGTGAAGTTAAAATCTGTTGATATGTGGAGCTGGGCCAGCCTATCCTTGATTTTTGAATGTAAGGTATCCTTAGAGGGAGGCTGTGAAGCCTCTACTCCATCCACACTGCTCGGTTTGAGTTCTTCAGCCTCCCCTTCACAGTGATAGTACATTCTTTCTTCTGCCCCTGTAGAAACATCTTTAGCTGCAGTACTGTCTTTGTTTTTCTCCATCTCAGGATCTTCATACAAATACTCTGTCCTGCTTTTATCAGCAGCATTCACTTCTGGATTAGAATCTTTTTCTTCAGATTTATCACAACTTTGGCTGTAGTCCTGCTTTTCTGTATCTGAATTCATATGTGATTCCACATTATTTAGTAGCTTCAATGGTTCTACAGGAGACAAGGGTTTCACTGCAGCTTAAAAAGGGGGAAAAAATTAAATGATAACTAAAAGCGAGCTGCTATATAAAAATAATTTATTTGCCTGAAAAGATGCAAGATTATAAGGGCTAAAATTGCTTTAAAAAATCCCAAAGCAACAGAAACGCAACCCACACCAAAACTTAAAATAAAAGTGTTTCTAATCACAAAGCTGAAGTGAAATGTGACCACTACTTGTAACTATTCCTTAAAATCTGTGACGCAGAGAGACAGCACAAAATTGATGGTGTTTAAAGCCAGCATCAAACACAGAGGATGTATTCAGTGTTAAAGCAAAACCCAAGTAAAACTACTGTACTGCATACAGATTTAACTGTCTTCTTGTGAACAACAGTTTACCTAATCCACTAAAGGCAGCTGGTACATGAAAAAGTCCTTATAGGCAATATCTGATTTTGTACACCACAACATACAAACACAACACATATCCACACAGTCAGATCAAGTGTCCTCACAAGTAAAGTGTGGTTTAATTTAGCCTCTCTTGAAGTTAGTAGCAGCAGCGAGTCCCATTGCCAGCAACGGGATGCTTGCCAGGAAGTCTCTCCTCCCAGTGTTAAGGGTTAGTGTAACTTGGTACAATCCCTCCTTGAAGAACAGATGTCTTTCATTTTAAGAAAACGATATAATGTCCATTTCCAAGTAACAGATTCCCTAAACTGCAGTAGCTCCATTATAGTAGCAGCACGAATATAAATGAGAGCGGCAACAGCAGATTCCCAAGTTGCATTTCCCTTTCTAATTCCATTCTGACTTTACCCCTGTAAGCAGAGATGAAAATAACTCTGGGAAATACACAAACTTTTCATGGGAAACAAAATTTACGGTATTAGGATTCATTAACTGCATCCTGTTTCAGTAATATTCACTTTAGCTAGCTGAAGGCAGGCACATCATTATGGTTGTTACATTGATAATTATTGTCACTGACACGTTGAAAGACTTTGGCATTGAATGTGCATTGTACTATTTGCTTTAAAACCTTATATGAAAAAAGGAAACACTGCACCAGACTCATCTCAGTTGTTTATGGAGTAGTTCTTTCCCTGTCTCTTAAAAAATATGCTGCTACTTATTTCTGCCCATTTGCTTGAAGAGACAGGAATATGCACAGTAGTCTTATCATTTGGGAGCAAATTTCTTGACTGCTTCCTCCAAAGAATACTTTGAAAGACAAAACTTCTCAAAAAATAGAGAGATACTTGAGATGGGTAGCTGGCCAATTTGTTGAGTTGACAAATGAATAAACAGGGTGAAATTCATTCATTTTGAGAGCATGGCTTTCCAAATCTGATAAATAGCTATATAACAATTGTTGCATGGACAAGGTGGGAGAAGGGGAAACAGCTGGATGCAACACAACTACTGATAGAATGAACTTTTTTTGCAGTGGAGAGGTTAGGGAAAGGCTGGAAGTGATTTTGCAGCAGTAGGAAGTTGTTTTACAGTGCTTGACAAGTGGAAATGAAGCTACTAAAAACTTTGCAGACCTTTTCAAAAGCACATCCATGTGGCTCAACAGGAGGCCAAAGGACCAGAAACATAAGCTTACCTACACTCCAATAAAGTATCTACTATTCTGTAGAAGACTGTAAGAAGTATTACCATGGTACTGGCCATTGGAAGACTTGCTTTAGTCTAGTGCTTTGCTAAGATGGTATTTTTTTTCTTCTGGAATCCAACCTATCATCTCCAATTGACTTCATGTTGTGTTCTTAAGACATACCAATTTTTTTGGAGCTGACCTCTTATGTGGAAACCCTCACCAGCCCCTCCTTAAACAAACCAAAAACCCTCATGTCCTCGTTAGGACAAGTCAGAATGGCTAGCTGGGTGCCTTGACTAACAGATTAAAATCTTTGAATATTTCAGGAACTTTTTCCACAATAATCAGAAGTTATAAAAACCCAGGATTTCTGGAATTTGATTGTCCTGTAAAAGCAAGATTCAAGAGGATCATGCAAAAGTGGTATCATGGCCATCCATTGGCTTGGGCCAATGGAGAGAAGAATATAAACCTTTCTGGGTTTCAATCTTCAAGATAAGGCAAGTCAGAAATGTGGAACATGCAGATCACATAAATGTCTCTTTAAGGACTGACTTGTGTGTGGATAAATGAAACCATAATATGCCAAGGTCCATGATGTCACATTTACTGACTTGTGTTTCTTTTGAAGAAATATTGAAGGATTTCCTTAAAAAACAGTAAAAGATGTTATTTCTGGTATACATATCAGTCTGTCAGATTAGACACATACAATCTGAGCCAAAAGGAGACAATATTAATTACTTTCATGAACTGGCCTCATGTTTTCCAGGTTTTTACAGGATGGAAATAATCAATGATCAGTCCTATGCAGCTGGAGAAAATCATACTTTCTTCCCTCCTCACCCTTTTATCTCTAATCCTAGACCAAATAACTATACATGGAAAAGAAAAGGAACCAACATGAGCCACAAAGGTTTTCTGGTGAACAGTTACTGCTAACTACAGGAGTCAGCTGACTCCTTCCAGCTATGGCCATGGATGTCCTGAGGATATCTTAATATGGACAAGCATCAGCTGCTCTAGGTAAGGAAATATCCTAGGCAAATTCTCCTGACAAAAGCTCTTTCTGCAAGAATTTCACTAGGTCTTTCAAGACTTGACCTGGAGGTAGGATCACTTCTTCCTCCAACAGTTAGGAAAGGAAGACTTGAAGAAATTTATGTGACGAGTTGTGTGGTGTCATATCTAACACCAGAGGGATAATACAGAAATGCTACTCTTGTGCAAACTCTGGTGTAAATTGATGCCTTGGGGGTTTTTAACACAACTAGAAGAGAAATCAGTACCAATGGTCAAGTGATCTCTTTTACCACAGTTAATCATTTTTCTGGTAGACACTTTCAGAGGCAGAATCCTTGGATATGGTGCCAGACTTGAGGGTTGTTTTTCATAACATAGAACATGAAAATTTTTACAAAGCTTTTCCTAACCTGTCTTTAAGAGGAAGAAATTAAAATAAGAAAAAGGAAAAGACAAACTCCTGCCAATTTTAAAGAAAATAAATCAAATAGCTCATGCAGTGAGAGGAATTGAGTTGTGACAAACTGTCTTGTTAAGAGAAATTTTCATATTCTTGCTTTCAAGTGCAAGTGGATGGAGCTACCCAGCAGTCCTCTGGGTTACTAAAGGCTAGTTTGAAAGAGCTCTTCTTCTTAGATGATTTGGGGGGTTTTTTTTGTGAACAATTCTGTATTCACTCTCTCATGGAAACAAAAGCCAGTTTTATTATTTTATTTCTCTAATATTTCAAAGTCTAGCTCTTTACTTTAACCTGTATACTTTTGTATGTCCGGGATAATTTCTGCTGGTTTCTTTAAATTCTGAAAAGTAATTTATTTATGCACCCTGATAAAAAATCATATTTACTGGAAAGCCATGAAAGAAAGTCAGTTCTTGGTTTATATCCTGAAAGCTTTCTTCTTGCTGTTTTAATGTTTTTGTGTGTTTAATATTTTAGCTCAGTGTTTTGTTTAAAGCCAAATTCCCACTTATATGAGTTCATTTCAATATATAGTAAAACGATTATTAAAATATAAAGAGATGGAATGGCATCTAACACCACACAGCTCTATCAAAGACACTACTACAGCTAAGCACTGTCTGAATTCTAACATACTCAGAAATTCCTAGCAAACAGACACCTGTGTTTTTTAAGGAAGGAATTAATTTTCCAAAGAAATGCTTACCATGTTCACTGAATAGTAGCTGTTTCCACTTCTGTCTTTCAATTTCTGAAGCTTTGAATCCCAGTACAGATTTCAATTCTTGTAACACCCTCTTAGATTCCTGTCTCTCTCGCTCTTGCCTCTCTCTTTCTTCTTGGGAGAAGCAGTAAAAATCTTCCCTTTTGTACTCATTATCTGTATCTGAATAATCAACATATGCTTCCAGTTCCTAAAGAAAGAAAGGAAGAAACTCTTGATCTTCACTGTCAGAGTGGACTCAATCCTACAATCTGATTCATGATCAAATGATGTCAACACAAGCCAACCACAGTAATAGGGTGGTGCCCTGTTTGAGCAGAGCCAGTGGACCTGACACTGCTCTTGGTGATATCTGTATGATTTTGGAGCAAGTCCACTCATTAATGAGATTTACCTTCATACACAAATAAGTTCAAGTGATATACCTTGAAAATGGGAGACCATTTCTCCATAATTACAGGTAGGAAATAAGCAATGCTGATGTGAGTTTATTTTTTTTTTTTTTTTAATTTACACTGTAACCAATTCTTGGTAGTCAGGCATCTTGCTGATTTAACTTACATAAATCCTTATTAAGAGGATATAGAGGACAGCAAACTTCTCTTCCAATTTTAAATATGGTCGATTACAAGCTTAAAAAAACAGAGCAGCATTTATGTTATAATAAATTTTCAGTGAAATAATTAGTCCCAGCTTTTTGATATGGAAAAACATCTGGAGAGAATACATGTAGGGGAGAAGCAAGGGAGGAACAGAACAGAGGATGTGCTTTCAGAATGCATATGCCACTCAGTTCTGGCATGGAGGAGGCCCACATCTCTTCAAGACAGCCCAACCGTCACTCAGGAGTTCCTCAAACAACACAAAACTTTTCAGTGTTACAGTGAAAAGATATCCAAAAATGCAGAGACTAAGCAAACTGAAGGCAGGATGGTTTGTGCTTGAGCTTGTCACCTTCACAGCTGTATCAGTTTATCCAGCAAAAGCAGGACTATTTCATATGCTGCCTTTTAGCAATTCTCACTTTTTAATTCTCTGACTTGTGTTGCTGCTTTCCTTCAGTCACTCATTTCTAATGATATATATGAGAAATGAATACTAGTGCTCTTTTTTCCAGGATGGGGAATACCTCCCCATGGAACAGCAAAAGGAATGTACAAATTTTTTTTTTCTACAAGTCCAATTGTGAAGTGGCACTGGCCACTTACTTATCTGTCTTGGGAAGACATCAAGGTCACTGCACAAGCAACTGAAAAAAAGAATGGATACAGCAAATAATCGTCAATTATTATTCTAAATGTATTTTAAATGATCCTTTTTTTTTTTTTACCTGCTCTTCAGGGATTGGATCTTTGTTTTCTATGTATATGGCAGGCTGTGTTAAAGGTACTGTAGTATGCTGTAGGTTGTCACAGGAAACTTCAATTTTGCCTTTAGGGGAAAGAAGAAAAGGGATTTTAAAAAATTAAATTGAGTATTTAATGATGTTTCTGACTCACTCAGGAAGGGTCCAAATATTTTCATAAGCAGGATTTGCACACATGAAAAAAATGTTGAGAAGGCTGGTTAGGTTACACTGACTGAAACACTTCAACTAACAAATCTCAGAAATTTTATTATTTTGAAAACCTGCAGATGGCAAGCAAAATCAGTAAAACCAGAGAAAGAGACTTCATTCAGAAGTTTAAAAAAATATATATATAGGTAAGCTAGCTTTTAATAACTGGAAAATATAGATGTTAAATTTTCAATGCAGTAACAGGTCTTGTGTACAGAAAGAACCAAAGACAATCCTGCATTTTGTTCTCAATAGGACTTTTGACATCATGTCATGACATCCTTATAAGCAAAATGCAAAGGCCAAGAAAAGTTGCTATTAGGTGCACAGAACAGCCTCACAGTATGGTTACCATTTTCAGACTGGAATACACTGAGTGAGAATTTGTCTCAAGCCAAATACTCTCCAATATTTCCAATGGCTGAAAGAAAAGTATTGCATCTCATTAAATCTGTTGATTTGGGCATAATCTGCAAGAACACTGAAGGGCACCACTACAATAAAAAAACAATACTGGAAAATCAGAGATATGACCCAGGTAGAAATAGATTTCAGACCCAGCAGTTTGGTGACAGTGGCTGCAAATTTTTGTGCTTTGGAGTAGCCAAATGCGCAAATACATCACAACTGACTGGGGAGCACCACTCCACCCCACTGCAAGCAAAAAGCCAAACTACAAACTAGTACATACAAGCAACAGCACTGACTGTTAGACACATGAAGTAACATTTCTACTGTGGCACTGATTGGGCTGTGGATGGAACATAGTGCCCAGTCTGGGGCCCCTTCATTCAGCAACACAGTGGGCCAGCTACAGGGAGTACAGAGGAAAACATTGGAAATTATAAGAGGACTAAATAAAGTATAGTCACCAGGGAAAAGCTGAAGCATAGGGAGTCATGTAGAGAAGACAGAAAGAAACATAATAATCATCTTTGCTAACATAAGAGCCATCAAGAGGAAATGGATTTCCATTGTGGGTGGATCAGAATTACTGCTTTTAAATTGAAGCAAGAGGTACTTCTTCTATTTAGTAATAACATTCTATTGGTAATGGAATTAAGTGCTGGAATAGATGCCTGGAAATACTGTAAAATGTCTCTAAAGAGAATTTTTTAGGAACAGGTAAACAACATTTACTCACAAATACTAATTTACCCTTGAGAAGGGAAATGGGTTAAATGACCTTGCCAAGTCCCACCTAACCCTATTTTCCATTTCTAATCTATACACTGAACACTTAGGGATGGTGAGATTGCAGCAGAGTACCATGGCCATGCTCTTATAAATATCTAAGATAGTTGTCTACATTTGCAAAGATAGAGACAGTTTAAAAGGAAAAAGGATGGAATTTAAACAGTTTGAGGGCCAGTGTTTCAAAGGTCATTAATACAATGCTGTAACTAGCCATAAAGAGTACTCCATTCTGTAATATAATATTAGCAGATTAGATTACTACATGCTTAAATTGTTGAAGCTTTAAATGGTAAATTTTATCAGTGATGAAAAAATGTGAAAGAATAAAGAGAAGAAGCTTAAAGTTCTAGGAAATGAGAGAAGATGTACATGTATATGAATGATAGATAGGTCCATCATTGCCCAAGTAATTAGAGGTGAATGCCTTTTCATGTGCTAAAGCCCCACTTGTTCTGAGGCTCTGCTCTGTACCTGACAGGATCAGTGAGTAAAGGCACTGATTCTAGAAACAGACCAAATTAAGGAGGAAGCCAAACTGCATTCCCTGAAGGAGCCATATGCTAAAATATAAGACACATTCTGTTTTCACCACCAACGACAGGCTGATAGGAGAGTGTGAGTGTTTTATTACCCTGAAAGGCTTTGCTTTGGCTGTTTGTACCTGAAAGCAAACCAGCTCTGACATATAATGATTCAGGGCAAGAAGCATGTACTGCCTGTTGAAGGGGACTCACCTCTTTATACAGATGCTCTACTGGCTGAACTAGTTAATTGAACTAAACATCTATTGCAGCAAAAGTGCTCAGCATCCACTTAGACACAATGTTCCAAGGCCATGGGGTTCTTGAAACAGCTCTTGTCAAAAGATTGATTTAGTTTTGGATAATGATGCATAAACATAAAAGCTGTGCCTAGCTGCTATATTAATTCAACAGGAAGGTATCTTCTCCCAAAGAGCTTTCATAAAGTATTGAAAAAAAATGAGACAATTTAATGAAGTAATTTACATAACATGACTGACAGACCAGCTGTTAAAATTTGTAGGAAGACAGCAAAAGAATTGAATTTGATTTCATGTACAGCTTGACAAGTTCAACTCACAGAAGCTGGATGGCTTAGAAATGTATCAGGAAAATCAAATGTTGTCAGATAAAAATAGTTTTCAATGACCAAAATAATTTAAAGTGGCTTCTGTGGAGTAGTTCAATAAACTTGTTGCAAAATAGAGGTTCAATCCCAGGACATTTCCAGGAAAGCGCTGGGTAAAAGTGAAGGATTATTTTATTTTTTATTTCCCACGCAATCCCTTCCTTCTAGATCACACACAAGGTTATTTTTGTACTGAACTTTAAAAGGAAGCAAGTTATAATAAAAAGGCCTGCTGTGAAATTTATACACAAAGTAAAAATAAAACTAAAATAACTAAAAATACTATGGTGTGTAGTCTAGAAAGAACTTTTAAGGAAAGGGGAAAAAGATCAGTGGATCTGCAGGTTGTGGAGAGCAACCAGAATCAACAGAACACAACAGATCAGCACATGCAAATGTATCAGGCTACATCTAACATCCTCACAGGATGTTTTATGCAGCACTGAGGGGGAAGCTGTATGACTGCACTATCAGGCAAACTACAGGAGTTTGCTTATACCATGTCTGGACCTGCACAAAGCCTGCAAGAAGCCTCCCAGTGCTCCCAGTTCTGATGTAAGAATGAATAAGGTCAGCCTGCCTGCAGGCCCACAGCAATATTTATGCATCTACTGGATACTCCACCTATACATCATTAAGAGCACTTCAGATTTGGATTTCTGCAGGTAACTTGCTGATACCCCAAGTTCCCCCCTCAATTTTCCTAGTGCAGTCTCCATTACCAGCATTTTTCAGATGCTGGGCTGTGCCTTCAAAGGACAGTAAAAATGCTCCTGGAAAAAAGAAAGATTAGAAATTACAGGTTCAATTCCATGACAGGAGAGCCTAAGTTCACTGCAGTTATTTAAGCTGTTTACGCTTCACAAGAACAGCATGGGCAGTACAGATCCCTAAGGAGGACAACAAACAAAATGCTGGGATATGCTGCTCACTAAGACTTTTAAGAACACCAAAGATTAGCTCACAGTCTTTGACAGAGGAAGTAAATGGGTATTATATGCTCCACATGTCCTCCATGATTTAAAATGTTCCAGGAAATGTGATTGTCAAAAAAGTTTCATGACACTGCCATTATAATTTCAATTAATGGCATCATTTTAATGCAGTGAATAAATGAAGATCTTGAGGGCGATTCATTAAAATCCTACCCCTTCACAGGTGATTGACCAATCAAGGGCAAAAAGCCATGATCGGTCTGCACCTGAAAATGTAACCATCTGAATCCACAGGTCTAACAGACTGAGTTAGTATGTTTGCATTTTTTGCTGAAATGAAAGCTTCAAGGCCATCACAGTGAAAAAGCCTGATGTAAGGACAAAGTTTTTCAAAGTGTATGGTTGTAAGACCTTCTTTAGCTAGAATTCTGAACACTGTCATTGATCCATTTGACGATTTCATCTCTGAAGTGTATCCCATTAGCTGCTAAATTAATCTCTCACATTTACCTTTTTTATTTGGGTTTCTTCCACTTATTTTTTCCACCTGAGAAATGGCTTCTTCCCAGCAGCTGTTGCTTGCCTGGATATGAGGCTGAATAAACTTTAGCTTTTGTTCCAGAACCTGACGGGCTTCTGTTGTCAACTCGGGTGTCTCCTTAGTGCTAACAAGCTTTTCAAGTTCATCCTCAAGAATTATTACCCTAAGTGATAAGGAGAAAAACAGCAGTAAGTAATAATAAATATTTGACTTCACCATTTGTTCAAGTATTTAATGTAATATACTGTTATTTTCTTCAAGTTTTAAAAACTCAGTCAATTCCTCAAAGACTCCCCAAAATTTTAAAATTAAAGTATTTTTTTCTACATCAAGATACATTGCTTACCTGCATTTTTTATAATAACTTTTATATGTAAGATTAAAGGAATAGGACAGTCTCAACCATTTCACCAAGTCAGTAACAAATCTTCAAGGATATTTATTGGGTAGTTACTATGAGCTAAATGTTCTTATAAAGCGTTTGATATATTGAAAAATCAGTGGAAGATAATTACATTTTCATATTTTTTATAAGGGAGTGACAAAAGCAAGGCAAAATCTTAGTGCACTGCTTATCTTCAAGTTTTCACCAGATACTCAAAGAATACCCAGGAAAAATACCAGATTCCATAGTAAACCAAGGATCTTTGAGCCCATACTGTGTGGCTATAATTGCAAAGACTGTATGTATCTGCCTTTTTTGCTTTTAGTTGGGGATACAAGCTGACAACCCAAAAAACTTCAAGTCCAAAGCCTTCTGCATACTTTGTTAATTCATGTGTAAACTTACTCATTGAGCAGTGCCTTGAGGTGAAGCTGCAAGCTGCGTACCGCTGTCTGGAGACTGTTGAGCTCTCTGGACTCCTGCTTGGTCCTGGCTGGCCATTCCAAGCCTGACTGATGCTGAGTTTCGAAGTAGCGATAGAACTCGTAGCTCCTCTTGAGCTCCTCCAAGCAGGCGGCGTGGGTGTGAGGTAGGCCCTGGGTGACGTCGCGCAGGATGTGGTGAGGCAGCCGCTCTGGGGACACCAAGGGCTTGGGGGATGCGTTGGCTGGGGAGAGCAGCAGCGCCAGCCTCCTGAAAAATTCTGAACTCTGCCCTACCCAGAGCTGAAAGAGGACCTGCAAAACAGGGTAGGGTTAGTTAGCTCTGTGCACCTGGAAGGCAATCAGCTTCCAAAGTAAATGTACAGATACACCACGGGAAAACATTCCTTAGCCAGCAACAGGAACTTAGAAAAACTGCAAAAATCCGCTGACTGTTTATGAAGGGTATTCCAGAGCACGTGAGGTTCAGATCTTGTGACCCTTAGGTGACTGTTAATTCCTTGATGAAGGATATTAAATGCAATTATGCTCAGAAAGTTGTCAGAGTCCAAAACCTCATATTCCCATCGGCCAGTTTCATTATTTGCTATAATCTTCACATACCCTACAGCTCATAAAGGGCTGCCAAAATTCCAGTGGCAGCAAAGACATTTTCCCTTTATAAGGAAAAGCTGTCATTTCTACAGTCTAATAATTACTGCACTGCCCCACACCCAACCTTGAAACATGAGCCTAATTGCACTGTACTTCAACAAAAAAATATTTTACATCTGAAGAGAGTTGAGCTACTAACTTATTTCTTTTTTCAGCCAAAGTAAGAAATCCCACCAATACCACTAAGGAAGGAAAGACTTCTAAGAAATTGATTGATCCACAGTGTTAGATATAGTACTAAAGAGGCTGGTCCACCTGGGAATAAGGCAACCCAAAATTTCAGTTTCTTGAAAACTTCCACTTCCAATTAAATGACTGTTTTCTTAGTTTAGAGAAGTTTGCTCAGTGGACCATGACAGTACAGCAGCACCTTTTATGTCTAAAATGAAAAGGAAAGGTTATGATGTTTTTCTCTGCAAAAATGGCCCTTGTTAAAAGGGATCAGCTGTAGGTGATTATGAGGTGCAGACTGAAACTTATTCACAAGCATTCCAGACCAAGGAAGACAAAATATTTACTCATCATGTCAAAAATAATTGGATGCAACTGAAAGAGTATTCCAAAAGAAAAAAAAGAAATCTCAATTTACAAAAGATGCTCATGAGAAAAAAGAATACATGAATGACATAAAATTAATTTGGGGCACACATGCAAGACTGATTTGGATGGGTGCAAAAATACAAAGCAAACAAATGGGCAGCAACCACTCAAGTGTCCCTGAATGTGTGGTGCCCTGGATAAAAAATCAAAAGCTCATGCTGTAATAAGCACAAAAGAAGACCAATCCCTTCCACCAGACATAAATCACAGGCAGTAAAAAAGTAGCACACAGAAATAGTGGACTTCAGGAACTGATAATAATATTCAAAAACCTACCTGAAAAAAGGCACAATGACAAGAGAAAAGGAAATTTCAGATGTATTTATGGTTGCAAACAGCTTGCTCCACCAATAACTACTGATGATCTTTGCTGACACACAAAAATATCAAACTGGCTCTCCTCAGCTTAAACTGGTATTTTTTCTTTAGTGAAAATTTTCACTCTTTAAATTTACTTCAAGGACAAGGTAGCCAAAAAACACATGCTACGTTTGTCATATGACTTAGTATGACCTGCATTTTAATATAAAGACAAATTCTCTCAAGGTGAAAAAAACTGGACTGCACATCCAAGGTTCACCACACAAATATATCCCAAGGTTATCAAAGTATGTTATACCTATACAGGAATCTGCTTAGGACTGATTTATGTTAATTTAGATTAACATAAATACCACACCCAGCCTACATTGCTGGCTGTTATGAGCTACCATAAATTGAGATTTATTAGTTGTGAGCCTAGCTGTATCCAGAAAGTATCCTAACCAGTTTAACTAAAACAGAGTTCAGTTAAATTACTGCAAATTGCAAGTAAACAAAGGCTTAACTTATAAGCTTGGGTACCTCTGACTGGCTTCTTGTGCTTAAAAAGAAGTGGGTAAATTAGCAGGCTTACATTGTTGCAATTAATGCAAGAAAATTCAAGAAAAAAAAACAAATCAAAACCTGCTATTTATTGTAGCTCTTAGCTTACAACTAATTAGTCAGAGCCTCAAAGCTAAATAATCACTATTACTGGTAACGTTTACATTCAGAACAAAAGAAGTCAAGGTCTATAAATTAAGAGGAAAAAAATGCAATGAAAGCCAACCCCAAAGAAACACAGAAGTCATATAATAATGGAATTTTCTATTAAAAAGACAATGCTAAAGGGGAATTGCCCTGGCAGAGGACCATTAGAGTATAGAAGACTTGCATTCAAATTAGATCTTCCTTCCAATTGACTCATGCAAATAAAAAATACCTAACATCTCAAAACAAAATAGATCAAAAGGCCATTACATAGTTGTCACTCTGTTCAGTTAAAAGCTTTTCAAAGACTGAAGAACAACACTGGCTCACAGCAGCAGGGGTCCAAGCTTATGATTTCTACTCCTCAGTGTGAATAAATGCAGCTACTCCCTTTGGCATTTACAACTAATTTGTGATTTCTGATGTCTCTCCTTTTATACATGTCAAGAGATTAGATAAAAAAAGAATTAAGTATAAATCCGGAAATTATTCTATTCAGCTGGGATCAGGTGAAATCAGAGAGAAAAAAATAATGTCTAAGGGGATTGATCAAGCTGATTATAGAACACTGACTTGAACTTCCATGATTTGCAGAAAAAAATCCTTATGTTGTATTTAGTAACTTCTCTTTCTCTACATGCACAAAGAAATCATGGGAATGCTGATAAATGTAGAAACACATGGTAAGAGCCTGACTGATTACACCTTGCCCTCAATTCAGTGTGTTGCTACACGCTAGGATGTACAAGCCACAGGACTCCATGACAACAGGAAGATTTTCACCAGGAGCCTATATGGATCAAGCCCATCTGGGAGAGCTTACCTTGAGTGCAGGCAAGCTGAAGCCATCAGTCAGATTGTGTGCCTCCTCTTCGGAGACCTGCTCTTCACTCAGCCCCAAACCAAGCTCCTTAAAGGGGACCACACAGATGTAGCTGGTCACGTTGTCACTCTCCGAGTTCAGAGGGTAAGTTTAGCTGGAGTTAAGGTGGTAAACAAAGCCACTTTTGCATTAAACACACAGAAAAGGAAAGAAATACTTTATAAGGTTTCTTATTCCTGGCAATTTTTATGAAAGCACAGACTTTCATCCCAAATTCACCTGAATCGTGTTTAAAGTTTTGCAATCTTTATTTGAAGCACAAGTTTTAAATGTTCTTAGAAGGATGAGAGATAAAACACTGACAGAACACCTATGTCAAAATACAAACACATAAAAAGAAACAAAGTAGATTGATGAAAAATCCCTGCAGCCCTTTTGAAACAGCATACTTTTAAATACTGAGTTTCCAAGAGATAGTTCATGTTAATCTTAAACTAGAAGTTTAAGGAAGAGAGGAAAGAGAACAATTGTGCCATTTTAAGTTTTAAAGGTAGCCTTTGTTACAGATTAAAGTCAGGTGAATTTGCTGAGAGGTCTGTCTGTGGATGGACTGCTCAGAGGTCTTTACAGTAAAAGGTCTTTGACATTTCAGAGAGCTCTGTGAAGAACAGGAGCTCCCTGACATACCATTAACTTTATTGACTGCATCACTGTAAAGACATGATCTTGGCAGGATGAGTGGCAAACTGGTATCTATCAACACCATTCATCACATTTAAAATCTCAGTAGGAAAATGTACATTTCTAGCCCTCAAAAATGCTTAAAAAGTAGGAAGCAAGCCCAATATAACTGATACCAGTAGGCAGATAAAATAATTCATAGACTATGCAGCATTTACTTTAAAATAGCATTTATTTTAGGTTAACCTCAGGCTGGGGAGGAACAGTTCAAGATTTTTGCATGTTTTCTGATAGTTACCCAGTCACAAAATAGTAAAATTAATTTTAAAACAGAAATGTAAACTTACGGTCATTAGTACAAAATCACATTTGTTCCACAGAAATATATATAATTTGTAACACATTAATGAAAAGATGGTCTTAATTTAAAACATGTTTTTTTTTCATTTATAGTTTGATTTAGAAACTGAATGCTCTCATCTCTTGCTCATAAAGCCTATTAGAAGCACTTGTCTCTTGTCCAGCTAAAGTGTTTTCTGGGGGAAGCTACGAGTTCCATCCACTTTCACACCCAAATTTGCATCGTGCTAAATTCTCATAGGATTGAACTTGCAAAAGTGCTTTGCTCAAGAGATGTTTACCAGTTAAGCACAAGAACATTGCATAAAAATGTAATATTCTGTGTCCCAGGAAACAGTAAAGCAAAGTGTCCAGGATCTAAAACCCACATTTCTCCCTCCTTTATCCCTAATGTCTGGAAAGGAAGAAGCCTGTTAAGTGTTCAGACGAAATCCTGCAATATAAATTAATTAGCATCAGCATATTACTGTTGTCACCAGCAGCTGCCTCACATAAATGGTGTCTACTGTAAATTAACCTGACAGCGTGCCCAGCAGAGGGAGCACGTAGGATGAGGATGGCAACTCCATCAGAAATTGAAATGTCAGGTCAAAACCCTTCAGGATCACTTATCTTAGAAACTACTTGTACTCCTTGTTAGCCTGCAACATGACATTTCCAACAGTATGAACACCACAAAAAGCCGTTTGGACACATGTGGATTCCTAATTCATGCTAAAAATAAATTCCAGTCTCAAATGCAAGGTTTGACCAAGAAACCACTTACCTATACTATGTCAGACAGAGATTCCTGATGGCCTCCTGTACCTCCTGCCTTGCCCTCCTCTATTTCAACCCTTCCACTCCCATTTCTATCTGACAGATGAAAGCAGAGAACTGATCCCATGGCCCCATTAGCTTCCTAACGATCAAACATTTCCAAAGTTTAAACATGTACACACCATTATATACAGGAACACACTTCCTTCATGCACTTTGATCTAGTAGTATTTTTAGCCCTAATGCCTTCTATTAAAGCCAAAATACTAAAGCCCAGCTATCTTAGATTAGTTAAATTTTTTGTCTCTGTGAAAATATTTCATTCATCTGTTTAACTCACACACCTTATTAGCTTGAAAGAGAAGGCAGTGCTACTTAATAATGACCTGTCAATAAAATAAAATACCTGTACAGTGAATGTCTAACCTCTATCAGATTAGACACCCTTATTTACCTGTAAAAAACAAGAATGCTAATGTATCCCTGGATGTAACAATTGAACATTCAAAAGCACATTCCCATCTAAAGACCTAACATGAGAGCTTCACAGAATCCCTGGGAAATCCAAGCTGCTCTTCTACAAAATTCTTGCCTGCTCACCAGGGGTGAGCTAAGCATGTGATGAACTGGCTGGTCAAGGAAGAAACATTGCACTGAAAAATGCCCAAGTGTCTCTACTCAGACCTTCCAGCATGGCAATTTAGGCTTTTATAATCTCAACAGGGTACTACTTTTTGTGTAGCTTACTTGTTTTCTTGTATGAACTTTCCCTCTCCCAAGTTAAAGGTACGTGTTTTTCTAACAGTTCATGACACAGTAAGTAAACCTTTACAGAGGAGAAGGAACAAGTTTTTACTAGATTTACTTCAGGAAATTTGTGAATTTCCCTATGCTGAGTGAATCTCAAAGACCTAGATTGCATTTTATATGCATTCCATTCTAATGGGGTAAGATATCACTCAGTTTAAAATACTACTATCCAATGTCCGGTTTTATCACTAATAAAAAAATAACACTATTTATGCCTTAACACCAAAGAACATCACCTCACAACAAAATCCAAGCTTTTTAAGTGTACATGGTCCAAGGCCCAGGTCCTACCTATCAAAATAGTTCAAGGGAAATGGAGTATCAGACCATTCTGCATCAGCTGAGGGTGAGATTATTAACATCAGCCATTAAAATAAGCTAAAAGTTTTCCTCCATCCAGCTTGTATATAATTACGTCAGATTCCCATGATGCAGAACCCACAAGGCTCTTAAGAATAAAAGTATTAAGCAGCTAGCACGCCAAGAGAAGCACTGCCTGAATTACCAAACAATTCAGTGTAGGACAGTGCAGAGAGCTTTTGAACTGGTCTGCGTGATATCCTGTAAATACTTAACCCAAAGTGCTTAATTTATAGTTTAGGCTTTTGGCCATTGCATCCTGATATAGCCTTAGATTTCAAATCAAAAGAGAAATACGCTTTTCTATGGCATTTTGTTCTGTGATTTTGAACAATGCACTCTTCTTGACATAAACAAATCAGAGCAAGAATAGTGTAAGAAAATGCTGAGTTGTTTCTGCTAGTACCCAACTGTCCCTCCACACAAAATGTAAGCAATATGACTTTCCGTCTCATTAAATTACTCGTGTACCAAGTTTGACACAACTGCCTGGTATAAGGCATATATATGACTGCATATTTTCTCTCCTACATGGGAAGAAATTTTAATAAGGGCAAAATTATTTAACTGTACTCACTGCAGGCAGCTATCTAACTAAAAGATAGTACACTAGCCACAAGCAAATGTTGCTGAACTTCTAGTTCTGCTGAATAGAAGTGAGAACGATAACAATATCAAGATTATGCAATTTGTATCACCATGAATAAAGCTGTGACCTACAATTTTTAATTCTCTGTCACAGGTTCATCAGACTGATCTCCTTCTAACATATTTGAAGTATACATTAACATAAATTTGCTGCAGTTAATTTTGGTAGTAGAAAACCAACTTACCTTTGAATACAGGGATGTCGAGTGAAAGGCCATATTGATCAGAGAAGAGGATATTTTGATGCAAGGGATATTTTGGGCTAAGAGGAATTATAAAACAAAATCTTGAAGGGCTCTGAAACACATCTTCAGCACTTTCACCAAAAGTATGAGTATCAATAATGATACAGTGTTTTCAGTGCACTGAATCTTATCTCACACTGCACAGTACACAAAAAGGCAAATTTTAAGCATGCACCAAACAAAACACAAGCCCCAATTTACTACTCTACCTTTTCTTTCCCTTGTTTAGATACACAATTAGATACTGTATGTTTCTAGACATCCCGACTCTAAACACTGCAGGTAGGCAGCATGGGCTATCTGACCTGGTGGGTTTTTACAGAAAGGATATTTTTTCAGCATGTACAGAGTAGCCAGTCTTGCAGCTCGGAAGTTGGCTCTGACGGAGCGATACACGGCTTTCCGGAGGCCGATCAGGTGCTGACTAGGATGCTGTCCAGCTTTATTAAATGGGCAAGCGGCACTGACCCTGTCAAGCAAACTTGAAAAGTAAAATGTGATACAACTGTACAGGTGTCCTAAAGTATTTTTAAAGAACAGTACATCAGATTTCTTATTTCATTATTTGGAAAGCTTTTTCAAATCACTCAGTAACTAGGAGAGTAAAAAAAACCTTATCATATCAATGATATAGTTAATCAAAATTTTGGACAGCAGCCAGGATTCCTCAGTAAATAGCCTTAATCTATTCTCATCTGAGCTGTTGCAAAATTCCTGAGCACATTTATTTTATCTAAAGTTTTCCAAAATGGTACATTAATGGTATACATACCATAACATTATCTCAATCAGGATGCAAAATTATCACATGCCCACTGTGAGCTTTGGAAGTTTTAATAAACATGTATTTAATATATACCTCTTTATATCCAAATTTATTTTTTCAATAATTTTTGCAGAAAAAAAGGTGCCAACACATAGTTTTTCCTGCAAATCACTATATTCTTTTAACTTCCCTGATGCAGAAAGTTTTCTAGGTGAGGAGAAATATGTTTTGAGAGATGAAATAGATTTTATCATCATGCAATGAATGGCAGCTGTGTTTGTGAGACTTGACAGGTAAACACATGAAATGTATACACCACACAAGCATATTGGAAAATACATTTGGTGTCTGACTATTCAGGTGAATATACCATTTAAAGGAAATGAAGCCATTTGCCTATCATAATATAACTCAGATTGGCTTTAGCACTGTAAGAAATCAGCTCATCTGAAAATACAATGAACTGTGAACTGGATGAACACTGAACAGGTCTGTGGAACTTTAAGCTCCAGCTGTATCTCTTCCTATACAATCTGATGTCAAACCTGTGACTGAGACTCTGGAAACAGCCTAGGTGCACTCCGCTTGCTGGGACTGTTTTTACTAAAATCAACGCAGGAATGAACATAGTGACATAATGACAACAGGACAATCAGTTATCATTGTTTGGGGCTGGAAGCCTGTTTCTGCTCTCTCCTTTCCCAGGGCACAGTGAAGAGGTGATTGCATGTGCAGTCACTTAAAAGGGAAAAGCATACATGGTACCTGGTAAGCCTGAGGTGGATTGCTGCACTGGTAACTATTTCTGTAGTCCATCTGACTGAAAGTCTGACCAAGTCAGCAGACTGACACTGCTGGGAAAATGTCAGTCCTACTCCATGTGCTTAGCTGGACCATGCTGCACATTGACTGGGAGAGGAAATAGCTTGTGGCCTTCACTATCAAATATGAAAACCAGAGCAGCCCACCCAGTGAGCAAGGCTGGAGCCATATATTAATATGTTTAACACTATTAACACAAGCAGATTCATGCCAAATATTGCCATCTATTGAATATGCTAGCTGAAATACAATATAAAATATCTGCATACTATTTTAAATTATGTGTTATTAAAATGGTTTATATAACATCTCATAAACTACTTTAAAATCTGAAAAAATAAAAAACAAACTGTGTTCATTTCCATTTCTAAATGTAAATTTAAAATGCTAGCCATGCTGTATCTTTCAACTAGGGAACACAGCATGTAGTGTAATACATGCCAATCTCTAACCTTTCCCTAGCTTTTGAAAGTAGTAACTGGAAGTGTTTATGTATAAACCTGCATCAGTTTGTAGACCCAAGCCCATGTGAATTGTCAGAAGCAAGCTCAAAGAAAAGGAGCAAAATTCTTCTACCATAATAAAGAGAGAGATATCTATGTTCTAGTCAGTGATGCAGACTTTTCCAACTCCTATAGAGAATAAATATAGCATAACTCATGCACAGCATGTACTGCCAGCATTCAGCAAAACAATCTGCTTTCCTTCTGGAATGGATTGTTTCAGTGCTTTTTAGAAAAAAAAAAAAAATCTTCCTTATTCTACCAATTTAAATTAGTAGAATCTAGTATATATCTTTCTGTCAGGCATGTCATATCCCTAAATTTCTAGTGTTTCATTTATCTTCACAGAATCACAGAATGGTTTGGGTTGGAAAGGAACATAAAGATCATCTAAAGATCCATGGGCAGGGACGCCTTCCACCAGGCTCCTCAAAGCCCCATCCAGCCTGGTTCTGAACAGTTCCAGGGATGGGTAAGTCACCACTTCTCTGAACAATCTGTTCCTGTGTCCCACCACGCCCATAGTCAAGAATTTTTGTCCAAATATCTAATCTAAACCTGCCCTATTTCAATTTAAAGCCAATCCCCCTTGCCCTATCACCACACGCCCTTGTAAAAAGTCTCCCTTTTATCCTCTATGTATTTTAATTGGACTTATATGTTATCAAGATGTTATCAGCTTTGCATATCAGCCACAAGCAGCAAAAAAAAATTAAGGGTGAATTTCCCCTTTCCTACAGCTCCAAACCCATTTTACTGTATAGAACAACAACATATTTCTTCATTAATTTTACAAGCCAAATCTTGAATTGGCTTTCAACTTTTAACAAATTTATATAAACACATTAATAAAAATCCATTACTGTACTCTGGCATGAAAGCAGTTCTCTAAGGATGCTAATATATATCCATATGTATTAAGCTCACAGAGCTTAATTCTAGTTTAAAATACAGTAAAAAGGGAGCATTTTGGAAAAGAAGTTAATTTTTTGGGGACAAGCAAGGGAGTAAACACTTGCTGCTTACTCCTGCAAACTTTTGTTATGTATTCCTCCAGTTCTTGTTTTATGATATGCAAGACAATGGGCATACTTTCATTACCCTCCAGAAATTCCAGGCTGCAACCTGTAATCAGGCTTCATCTGGCTAATTGCAAATGAAGCAATTAGACAGAAATACTGCCCTTCTACCTGGGTATAGCACTACCCTACCTTTGCTAAGCAACTTCTGTAATCCAAGCTATCCAGGTGAGGTCTCGGCCATCTCTGCAACACAGAGCTGGTACCACACAGACACACCTGAAACTCCAACAGAGCGTTAAACACTTCCAAAGGCCACACTGGAATCAGAATATCAAGTTGTCTTTGAGAACAGCTAATGTAAGAGAAGCCTGACAGGATTACAGAATCATAGAATAGTTAAGATTGGAAGGGACCACTTTATAATCCAAGCTCCCTGCTCGAGTTCTTAGTTCCTGATCTATGTAGCTGCAGTCAGTTTTACTGCGTGGGAGGGGAATGAAGGCAAAAGGATGTTTGACTGTCTGTTTGAGTATAGCAGTCACTACCACACAGTAGTAAGCCACTTAATGTATAGAGAGCTGACCAAAACCTCATCAGTAAAAATCTACCATTTACAGAGACAGTCCAGTATCAATTAATAAGGGGCAAATAGGGTAGAAGAAAGCAAAGCCATAGATATTTCAATGGATGTGTAAATTAGCCCATGAAAACAGCAATGGATGGTGTCATGGGGAGGAAAACCAGCAGTGGAGAATGAGGAACCTCAGGCCAAAGCTGCAGACCTGGACTTGCCCTGTCAGATTTTAGCCAAGTACAACCAGTCAAAGTCTGAATTTGGTACTCTTTCCATGACAGCTTCAGTACTTTTCCACTCACAATATGTAAGTTTGGCACAGGCCAAACTATGCTGAGTTAGCAGTACCTTAAATCAGCTGCACATGTAACACTGACCGGGATGCTGTACCTGATTGAAATTTAATTCTTTCAAGGATGTAAAATAACACAAGAGGATACTCAGTAACTTTTCAAATGCAACCATTTCATGGTTTACCATTTCTCATGGCATACTGGCATGAGACTCTATGAATAAGCACTAAGATTTTGATAACCTTACTACAGAAGAACATAGTAAACTTTTTCTGTTGTAGAACATTCTAGAAAAAAATAAAAAGGGAAAACTAGCATTTTGAATCATATTCAAAAGCAAAGAATTTCATATTGCCCTATGCAGAAGCAGCATCTCTTGCATATATGGATACAGAAAAGGACACTCTGGAGTTAGAATTGCCTCTAGGTTAAACCAACCCAACACATGTATAGCATTGACTTCTTTATACTGTACAGTTGTTCCAGTGAGGATGCTGGCACAGTCAGACTTCTCCCACTCCATCCATATACCAAAGTCTTTTGAAAAGCTTGCCAAAGTTTCAAGTAAAGAAGCTATTAGATCAAGCACCAGCTTAAAGACCAGTCTGTTTTTTGTTAATCTGTTATCTAAGAAATGTAGTAAAAGAACAAGGCAGCAGCGATTTAGACATTGACCACAAGTTCATTTGCTTAAACTTAGGCAAAAATCCAAATGTTTTTCTCATCTGTAATTTGGACAAGCCCGAAGAATAATTTCTTTTAAGAACCCATTTGCAAAGATAAGACTGCCTATTGCTCAAGTATATGCTTCTTCAGCAAAAATCCAGACCAAAACAAAAATCACATAGCTAGGCAGATTGAAGACATGCTTATGCATTCCAAAGGGAGAATGAAACATTTCTTCAGTGAAATACACTGAAGGCATCTCAAGCTAAAAAATAAATCCATAATTTTAAGTCTAAAGTTGCACACTTGCAGGTAAGAACATGTGTCTGAATGTAGAATAGTTGGTCTGGCACAGATAAACAACTTGTTGCCCACAAGGGAACTTTAGCTTTTTTTTTTGGAAAGAAGTTGACTGTATTTTAGGTGTTGGTGTTTCCCACCCCCTTTAGCCTTAAGCAGAATTGGCACACATGGATTCATCATAGGTGATTACAACACAAAAGCATTCACTGCAATGAGAGTGCACAGAAAAAGCAGGCCTGTTGGCTTTGGAATCACTGCATACACTGACCACATTCTGATGCCCTTTCACACAGCAGATCAGCAAAACTTATCAAATAACTACAAGAGCTAAATACTCGGAAACACTTTTGCATCCCTTAAGTGGAAGAGAGGAAAATTCAACAGTCAATAATTTAAGAATCTAAATGTTTCAACAATCGTATGCAAGAAAAAAAGACTATGTTAAATTTACTTGAGGTGGGAAATGATGTTTGATGGTTTTTGCTGACTACTGGGTTCTCACTACTTCAGACCTATTTGTTAAATAAAAATAGAATGATTTTCATGTCATCCTGTTTTCTAAAATATGAGCAACTACTTGCAGATCAGTTTATTTACATCAATTTTGTAACGTGAGATAAAAAAACTCTCTAAATGACTCAGCAAAATAGTTAATTTCATTTAAAGTCCATTTGTTCATATATTTCATTGCTAGCAATGCAGGACATTTCAAAGGCATATGAGTTTTGTGAGATTTAATTCACCTACAGGATGTGGGGTTCTAATATTGAGTTGTTAGAATTCATACTTTTAGTATGAATAGTAATTATACTCTCATTTCATTTAAAACCTTGAAGTATTATGTTTTCCAATAATTCCACTTGCTATGGGAGACAGTGTAACAAGACAATTCTAGATGACAGCTGGTTTGAATGGATCTGTGTATTAAATAAAGTGAAATACAGACTCACAGGGTAAATCCTCTGGAAATCACTTCAGTCTCTTGAATGAGTCGTAGAGCTTTCCTCACGAGATTAGTAAAGGCTCGGCTATTCGCCACTGTTTCTTCCAGCTGGAGACAGTATTTTCGCAGGGACATTTGCAGCTTGGCTGTCCTCCACGTGCCCCACACTCTAAAGACTGCATAGAGGAGCAGCACTGGTCCACACAGCAGCCATGATGATTCCTTCCACCACGAAGGAAACATAAGCAGTGCACTTACAAAGGCAAGGAACAGCGAGACATCCCTGCAAACAGACACAGTACCACCAACCACACGTTACTGAGAGCAAACAAGTGGGAAAAGTACCAAGTTTTCAGTTACAGTTGAGATTACAACATCTTACTGTGGGGCATTTCTGTAGGTCCTGAAGGGAGCTGTAAACACTGAAAACTACTTGTGACAGGTTTAGATGGATACATACACGATATTACTTAGCTGGTATACTCTAAGGAAATCTTCAGCTTTTTTACAGCACAAGTAGGAGAGTAATGTACCACTCTGAAAGGTCAGTTTCTCTTACACATATGACTTAAAAAAGAAAATTAAAAAAAAAAAAAAAAAAGAAAAAACCTGACTACTCAGCATTATAAGCCAGGGCGTGTAGGAATCTGTACTTCCAGGTTCAAGAGTACAGTAGGGAAGGGCATGTTTCTTTTGGTAGCAAATCCTTCAGTTAGTGCCAGCTGTATTTTTTCTCGAGTCTGACTCATTTAACTTGGACATCAATGCACCACTAGTTTCTAACACAATTTTATAAAGATGGCTTGAATAATCATTTAAAATAATCTGACACCTTTTGAAAATCCTTAAAGTATAAGGTTCCTAGTATTTCAGTTATTTCTCAAAGACATTTAAAAAGCTTATAAAGTTGTTACTTTCCTCTATAAAAATGCAATAAATAAGTAACTGCTAGAAAAAACACTGTTTCATAGATATTATTGTATGCTTTTGGAAAATAATCACAATCATCAAAGAGATGGATGAGATACCAGCTTCAAGGTGCATTAGAACTATACTTTTCTAGAATGTTTCGAATGAAAAAATATTTTTTTCCTTCATCCCTTAAAGCTGTGTATCCTGAATTTAGGTTTGGAAGTATTCACATGGAATATTTTCCCATTTCTAAATTAAGGCACAGGTTTCTACTTCCTGGACAGTTTTGTGGTCAAATTTCAGTCAGATTTACAAGTGTTAACTCTTTAGGGCTACTGGCTACTGATATGTCTCAGTAAAGATCCAAGGTTAAAATATTCCATATATGTAACTACCTCTAAAAGGGACAGACACGCAGTTTCTAACTTCCTTGGTACATTAAAGTCTTACAAATAAAATAAAGCGAATCACAACAATGAAAGACCAGAAGGGATTTAACAGCTCACTTTCTTTATTTTCAGCTTTTGGTTGGTTGGTTGGTTGGTTGGTTAACCATCATGGACAGACCAAAGATGAAAATGGAGACTCTACAACCCAGGCCATTGCCATTTCAACTCCTAAGTATTCTTAGAGTTCAAAAGATTTCCCCCAAGTCCCAATTTGAATCACTGGCAGATTAATTACATTATTCTTCTTCATACCCTTCCCTTTTCTGAACAGAACAAATGATGACTGATCACAACCTTCTACATACCATAACACTATTCCATCCCAGAGATATGCAGATCCTTTCCTGGAATAGTACTGCATACCCAGTTATTCATCACTTGGTGTTTATTAACTTGACTTTTCCTTCCCAAGTGTAGCATTAAACTTTTGTCTTTATTGAATTTCTATCATTTTCAAGGCATTTCTCCAAGCTACTGACCTCTGGTCAGTGACAACACAAACTTGGTGTCATCTGGAAGGTGAACAACATTCACAATTTTTTTAAGTGTGCTTTATCAGCTGAAAGTTGAAGAAACTGAATAATGCTAGGACCAGAAAAATCTGGGTCAAAAGTTCTCTTGTTTGATAGAGAGCATCAATAATAACATAACTTAAACAGTTGAGGTGTGACTTTATAATAATTTTATCTACATTTTTAGTGTATATATGAGAAAATAGCACTGGCCCATTTTATTTGATTTTTTTTTTCCTACTGATTACTGCATTTCCGAGCAAGACACTGTCAGAACAACCACTGATATTATTTTTTAAATACAGGTGGTAGCTGTTCAGATACTGCTGCAGTCAGCTCCTTCAGTACTCTTGAGTAAATTCCACAAGACTCTGCTGACTTCAGTGTATCTTACTGAAATATTTTGTAGTTTATTCTTCTAATATTCTATGTCTGAAAATTAATTGGACATCCCACCTCACCTTCTCCCACCCACAACATATTTTATAAAGACCCCACCAAAATAAACACTTTCCAATTCAGGTCTCACAGTCATGTTTCATTATCAAAATCACCTCTATACAGCTTCAGAAATTAATGAATTAATCAACTATGTTAGTTCTTCCTTATAGAATATATTAATTAAAGAGTATTCATTCATGTTCATGTAGTCATCTCAGATTAAAATTCACTTTCAATAAAATGCCCAGTGAAAAAAACCTTGCCTATACAAAAATCTGGGGGCTAGTAGAATAAAGACCCAAGGACATGAAAAAAATATAGTTACTTTAATGTTGCATTTTATATCAAGAATGCACAATATATTTTTTGCTTATTTCTCAGTGACTATAATGGTAGATATCCTCAATACAGTACCAAATATTAGGAGTTGCTAGGGAGCGTAGCGTTGGAAGTTGTCTGTTTTCCTGTTGCTTACACTGCCCTGCAGACAGGATACTGGGGTCAAGGAATTCAATCAGTTCCACATCCTCCTGCAGCAGAACTTCCTGTTGCAGGATGGTACGGAGCGTGTCAAATCGAAATCCAACATCCTTACCACATACAAATGGGCAGGAGAAAAATCAGGCATTAGTAAAGAATATGCAAATTCTTAAAATTAAGTTAGCAGAACAAGGAAAACACCCACACACTCTACACTTTACTGACAACAATCTGTTCCCAGAGCACAGGAATGTTTCAGATATATGACGAGTAGATACTTTTTTATTAAATTTGTTTAACTTTAAAAGCTCACACTACTACCTAACAGTTCAGGCTTGCAGGATGCATCACAGTGACTTTGTGATCTGACCTAGATAGTAACAACAACTGGAAAGGCCAGAGTATGCCAATATATTTGCATAAGAGCAGTACTGAATCTGTTAGAAGATCGTTAAGAAACAGAAAATACTTTTTTTGAAAATGTCATGACATCATTTATATCATTAACAAACAGAACTTAGAGAGAGAAAGGGAGATATTGCTAATTAATCAACAAAAAGTCACTTGTGGACACTTAATAACGGTAGGGTCTGGATGGAAGCACCAAGCCAAGGCAGTGGAGTACCCTCCTGCAGGATTCTGCACCTTTCCCAAGGGAGCTCAATCCAAATGTGAAACAGTATGGGGCTCCAGAGACCTCACCCCTGCTACACCTCAGGCAAACTTTAGGGAGTTACTCAGTTGTGAATTCGATACCATAAGCATTTGCTACTTTTCCCCCAACTATAGCTCTTCAAGACAAATATGCAGCTCATGAAGACAAATACAACTATCAGAGAAGTCCCTAGAAATTTTCATTTGCATACTGCACCAAACCATAATTACTTCAATTTAAGAATGCCATAACAAGACTCAACAAACACTGAACATGTGCATCCCTGCATCTAGCTAATTACAGGAGAGAAAAGAGAATATTTCTGAAAAGTCTCTAATAGAAGCTTTTAACACAAGTGTGACATTTCACAGTACAAAATCTGCTTCATTCTGTCACTGACAGAATGAGATTCTTTATTCTTATGAAACCATAAGATAGCTAGTTTAGAAACTTAATTCCATGCACAGATGTCACCTCAGATAACTTTCATTCTACTTTTAATGGAAAACATTTGTTTCAGGACTGTGTGCAAGAGGAAACTCTGCCCTCCTCCGACGCATCCTGTGTCATTTTAGCACTCTACTGTAGTATGCAGCAGGACAAACATGTTTTCCATGTTCTTTGGTTATGCCTCCATCTCAAGAAAGTAAGCCTAAAAATTGCTGTTAACATAATAACCGCAATTCATAGGGGAAGAGGGAAGAAGAAAAAAGTCAATCAAAGATCACTGATGAGAGATTTTCAAAGGAAATTTTGCCCTCCTGAGATAAAGGAGAACTGAGATACAGCATAACTCTGTGAGAAATGGAAAATTCTAACTTCTCATGTTGCTCAACATTTTCTTTTGAAGCTCCATTTGAAGACATCGTCCCTACAACATAGTAGAAAAAAATAAATCAAAACTCTAGATTCTGGAAGAGTTTGACTAGAGTGACATTTGCAAGCAATACTAGGGGAATGAAGGAGCAGGATACAAGTTAAAGCAGATCTGAGACAAGCCCAAACTGGAAAGCAGTGCTGCAGAGAAAAAGTAAACAAAGTTTGATTTGCCTTTCCCAAAAGCAGAGGCCCTTTAGAGAGTAGTGTCAAAACAAAGAGGCCAGGATGGGTCCAGGGCCAGTACAGCTGCACTGTGGTGATGCTGTGCCTGAGCTAACAGGCTGAAACAGAGGGTGAAGCAATACTCAGCTGAAACTCTAGAACCTTCTGTCTTAGGTGGTCTCTACAAGGCACTAGGATACCAAACGTGGACTTTCTCAGTCAGCATCACCCCACTGCCTTCCACCAAAGGGGTACCTACACTGTAATTAAACTCAGTCCAGCTTTCAAGAATTTATTTAATTTCTCGCATATTTTATTATCTTCCACAATTTGAACATCCTCAACCTGGCTACTGATACTGCTTCTGTCCTTTTCTGCCCAATTTGGCACAGTAACTGAAGACCAGAATTAGTATTATCTAAAGAGTAAGTAATACTCTTAGAGCCAAAACCAACAATACAGACCAAAGATGTTGTTCAGAGGATGAGATACGGAAGGGAGGAAGACCTGTGGATTAGGAAAGGAAATGGAAAAATAAAAAAAGTGATCACTTACCAGTCGGTGAAGTATGTCATTGTTTTTCTTATACTGTAGAAAAGGAAACCAGCTTCTAAAAAACTCAACTAGTTTTGACAGGATGCCTTGCTAAAAGGAACAGAAATTACTCCAGTTAAAAGAAACCCAATAACCAAAGCCAAAATTAAATAAATAACAGCAGTCAAAGACTTTACTTCTCCATTTGATTTTCTTGTTAACTCAGACCAAGTACCTGTAAGGAAGTTTCACTTACTGTGTCTGGCCTAACTTCAGAGTACACTAAGAGAACATCTGCTTCCCGTCAGTTTGCTTGTGAGCAAGAGAATAAAATAAAGCCTTCAGTAACCCCACCTATTTGGAGCATAATAGATTGTTATGGTGTTCTGTTAAAAATAACTGCAGCTAAGATTAGATTGATCTCAAGTTGGCAGCTATTGCATTGATATGAAAGACTTTCTCTCTCCTGGGAGATAAAAACCCAAAGGTTAAATGATTGACAGGCTTTAGAAAAGTGGAAGACCAGAACAGGGACAACCTCTCCTCAGCAGTCCACTGCTTGAGCACAAGACTCCAGAAGAGTTGTAAACAGAGACAGGGAGAGTGATGGTAAGGAGAAGAAATGCCCCAGAAATTCCCTGTCCACACCAGTGTGTGCCACCAGGCACTTTATCTCTATGCTGCTTCCTATGCAACCTAAATCCACACTTTTGTCTGAGCTGTAAACATATCTTCAGATGCCACTAAAAGAGGGACTCCCTCTCAGTCATCACACATTCTACTCATGTATCTTCCTAAAACAAGATGCATAACAGGTTATAACTTAATGGAATCATGGTTTTGCTTTAGTCTACAGGCATTCAATGAACAAAAAAAAAAAGCAGTTGACAAATGATTGACAAATCATTCTATCTACTTTCCTCAGACTGAACTGACAGGAAGTATTTTTCAAAATATTTACTTATATATATTTAATTTATTCTGAGGCCCTGTCTCAATCTTCAGACTGCTGACATGTGACACAATAAAATAAAATAAAATGTATACAAAAAAAATTAATTGTGAAGTGCTTACATTTTGTGGCATACCATTTCAAAATAATAAAACAAAGCCCCATACAGATTGTAATAGCCCGGTGCATAAAAGGTGACAATTTCTGTTTCTCCCTCTTGTTTGGGTTTGGTTTTTTTTGCATTTTTTATTCCCCTCTTGTTTTTTTCTTGGTTTTTCCTCAACTACAAGGTGGGAAATAGAAGAATAAACTCAAGCAACAGGAGCTCAGAGTTTTGTAGTTAACCTGTGACCAGCCTGACAGCCTTCTGAAAGGCAGTGCAACCAGTCTGGTGCATCAGAAGCTGTCACCCTAAAGCCCTTATGCTTCCACAGTTTTTGAAATAATTTATTTTAGGGCCCATTTAAGTAATCTAACTCAAGCTTTTCTTGACAAATGTCTCATCTTTCTGTATACAGTTAGATTTTGAGATCTATGCCACAGAGAAGTGTTTTTAGGTCAGTGAAGAGGTAAACCAGTAACAGGGATCTCATAATGATAGCTCTTCCCAAAACACTGACATCACTGTGGCTTGTTAGGAGGAGCTATCCCAGCAATTCACACTCAAGACTATGGAATAAGTCCAAGTGATTTTATTTTGATGTTGCTCAAGGGCAATGACATAAGTCAGAAGAATATCACTAACTGCAGCACTAGATTATCCTTCAGGTTTCTTGCAGAGCAGTGCAAAAGGAAATAAAATTTTCTAATTACAATTTGTAGAAAATTGAAATTAAATTAACAAAGGTCTTGCTCTGCATTTGAATTTCAGACAGCATTTCACTGAAAAGTACTTTTCCCTGTACATTGAAAGCAGGGTACAGAAACAGTCATACATTTAAGAATATGCCTCTTGAATTCTATAATTTTCAACTGCTTAGCCTTTGTTAGTCTTTGGATTTTTATGATGAACATTTAAAGCTACACCAAGGGTTGTATTAAACTGCTACCAGCTTACTAAACTAGACTGTGGAGTTACTGAAAAAACCAGCTTATGTGCTACATAAGCAATCTTTTAGTTTATTCTCCAAGGTTTAGTTTAAAAATAAAGATCTGAGCTTGCATAAATACTCAACAGGCAAGTCAGTGCTTGAAAATACAAAATGAGACAACCCACTGTCTTGGGCTGTGACCCAATAGAGTACAGCAACACACTGAATTATTTACATCCTTGGAATAGTGTCTCACAGTTTGCATTCCCATTGGGAGAGTTACTGACAAGTAAAACTACTTTCACCAACACACAAGTCAGGTCATGGTGCCAATGCTTCTGGAGTATTCTTACAGCTTTAGAACAACACTCAGTCAAATTCTCTGTAAACTAAATAACAAAGATGCATAACTCCTAATTAAAAAAGATATTATCATAATTCATGCACATTTTGGGTAAATTAATCCGAATCTAAAAAAAGAATTCTAAGAACTATTTCTCTTTTGTAGAGAAATTCTTTAGAAGAAGATAATGCTACACACTGAATAACTTGCATTAAGTGTGTGGGAGCCCTAGACAAAGGACTGGTCTCTCTGTCATCCCACATGCACAGCCACTGAGGGCTAGGCCAAACACAATCCTCAGAAGCTGCCTCCAGCACCAGTTCTGCTCTAATAACAAAATATCATCATATCTAAGGTGGGACAAGCTGTGACAATATAATCAATTTAAACACTTAGATATGCACAGCAGTTTAGGAAAATGGCTGAGAAAGATGTAAATGGGAAGTGATAAATTCTGTAAAGATCAAGCGGAATTACCCAAATGGGATTTAATCCCAGAAAACAAGTCCAGCAGCTCTTACTAGCAGTGCTTTTGAGTATCAAGTGATCATGAGACCAGGACTTTAGCTGTAACTTTCTCCACAGATTGGCACAGCCAGGAACACTGCACCTGCAATTACTATGCTAAATCACATCTTCATAGTCCCTCAGATGGGAGTCTGGCATTTCATCAGCCCCCAGAACACAACCTTAAAACACCTTTACAGCTTTTAACTCAATGTTCATTAAGACCATATTCCAATCCAAAAAAAAACCAAAAATAAAAAAAAGGCCAAAAAGCCACCATCAAAACCACATGTCCTGAGAAGTATTTAAAATGTGGTTCAAATTCAGCTGGTGCCTCTGCCTTTCCTTATGCCTGATACACACACTCTGCTTGGCAGGACAGCTAGACACAACGGAAATATTTGTATCAGTCACTAGGAACCTCTTTTTCTTCCCAGATTTATTTTTTCAGTCCCTGAAGATCCCAAAGTAGACCTTTGCCATGCCAAATTCTTGCTGCAAATTCACCTGCTTTCAGCTGCATAGGGTTCCCACTTGACAGAACACAAGAGGGGGAAACAACCTCAACTCAAAAACAAAGCAATACTCCAGCTTTTACCTTTTAATTTTAATAAAGTGTTTAAGGCATTTGGAAATTTGCTTTTCAGAACAGAAGGAAAGCGATTTACACATACTGGGAATCACTCAGTGTGGTATAGCATCTGCTCCCTGTAATCATAGTTACATCAAGCCTCAAGGAAGATCATTTCATATGACGACTGTGGGTAGGTACATATTCAGAAGTCAGAAACCATTTATTTTGCAGATATTTTATCATTTCAGTAGACTAGGCCAGTGAAAGCCAAGAGAAGGGAAATGGTAACAGTCCCATTTAAACTGAGGAAATGACTGGACAGGAATGCAAATTATCTGTCTGTATGTCATAAAAAAGTTGCAACAAAGCCTCAGATCCTCCTAAATCCAGTCCATTTTCCTAAATGTGTGGCCAGCTGCCTCTCCCTCATTTTCTTTCTTATTGAGACACCCTACCAAAATGGGACACAGAAATCAAATGACAAAAACAGACTTTCTGACACCAGATTACAGAAGGGAAGTGTTAACTCTTCCCAACTGGTACTGGAATTGCAGCAGAAAGAACCTATGAAAATTTATCACTAATAATTACACACAGGTTTCTTCCTCATTTCCACTATGTACCCTTGTCTAGACAGAGATGAGACAACGTGAACGTCACCTAGTGTTTGTAAGAAAAGGACAGCCCGTTTTCACACACCCACTCCCTTCAAGCTGCAAGGCAAAGCATGAAAAATTACTTCTACATCTGACACAATACTGGAGGAATTGCTGCCAACACAATAAAATTAAGTATAAAATGCTTGAGGGGAAGGGAGGGGAAAAAACCAGAATACCTGAGGTTTTTAAAAGCAGTATATCTTAATACTTTTGAGGTTCTTAACCCTCCAGCACTTTTGTATAAAATTCAGTGGAAATTATATACACAAACACAGTAACATACTGATTTTCTGACTGCCACAAAAGTAACTATGCAAAATAATGTAGCTGACAGTCCATGCATTACTTCATAGTAATTAACGAAGTATCAACCAATGAAATGCCATCCTATTTTTTAATTAACAGTGAACAAATGTTAACATTTAATAAATAAATAAACAAACAATCCAAGTCTTCCTACTCTAAATCAGAATAGGTATCTTCAGTATAAATATACCACAAAACTATAAAGATATAAAGATATCTATAAAGATAGGTGGTTTCTTAAGGGTTATGGTGAGTGCCAGCTGACTATTCTGAAAAGCAAAAGTGGTAGACCTAATATTTCCATTAATACTTTTAAAGGTAGCTCAAAGAAAGAAAATTGTGAGCAAAATCCTGATTTAAATTCAGCCTTGCTTTGTGACCAGTAATAGAAGCAATCATTATTAGAAATGCAAGAGCTATCCACATCAACTATCTTATTCAGATTGGCTACTGCATTTCTACTTCCCAGAAATCCTCTTTCTTAATATGTTTTGTCACAGACAAAGCTATACTTAGCAACTAAATGCCTGGGAAGGGCTGGAAACTATAAATATTCTGTTCTAGAAAATTACAGGTTCTATTCCCAGAATGTCATGCTAAGTTAACATAATAAGATCCACTACAGAAGATAATTTTCAACACTCAAAAAAATTATTTATCAAAGCTTCTTGCTTCCCTGGCTTACGTAAGTGCAAAGAAACACTCCAAACTATACTGATTAACTACAAGATACATTAACAGGCTGAGGTTCCTTGTCTGGGTGTTTTGGCCTTTATTGTTTTTAAATACAGGAAGCGATTCCTCTCTGTTCTGATTTCTCCAGTTTGTGAAGCAATGCAGTTCTCTTGTAAGCAGATAAATACTCAGCAACAGCACAGTGCTCACCTTCTGGGCAGCACGCACAGTCTGCTCCCTTTGGCTTTCTGCTGCTGCACATTGCTCTGCCTTCTGTGACACTGAGGAACATACTTCAAAATCTGTGTGTCCCAAATCCTGCAGATATTGGTACAGTGGGGAATTCTGAAAAGGGAGTTACAAAAAGAAAAAGGAGAAAAAAACCTGTTAAAAATCATTCTGTGTTTCCCACAAAACACCACTGTGAATTCAGAAACCACACAATCAGCAATGAATGGGTTGAGAAATGGAAAAAAAAAATTAGAAAAAGGCTTCTGCTCTCTCAAAGGATGGTACTAGCATTCTGGCTCAAAAATAAACCCCAAAAACTCCCATAGCATACAAACAAAAAAAACAACTCAACTTTTTAAAATTGCTGGCAAAATGAATGGTTTGCAAACAGTCCTTAATAAAGCAGAAAAAGTACAGATTCTGATCACCAGAGAATAGTGATATTTAGAGTCATTAGATATTTTCTATATAGATCTGAGAAATTTCTTCTTGTCATCTGCACCAGCTATCTATTACTTAACTCTTATTTTTCAGTTTATAACTACATATTTGGCAGTACCTAGGACACATTTGATGAAAACAATACCTAGGATAACTCCAGTTCTACTCAGGACACATAAAGAGACTTCATTTTTAAGAGAAACTCTCAGCAATCTGTCTGATACAGCCTAGTTAGACAGGGATTAATTTGACCCCTGAAAAAAATTATTAATGAGAGTATGCAAAACTAGCCAACTTCACAGAAAGAATACCAACATCTTAATTTAACATACTGTCAAACAAAATATTTTATATAGAAAGTAAACACTTTACAGTAAATGATGCATATTTGTGGAGGTCTGCAGAAATGACCACCAACAGAACACCTACCACTAATTGTTACACCGATTATCATTAATTTGCTGGTGCAAGTTGTGAAGGGGCTCACCTAACTCTGACTATGGACCCACAGTGGAATCTCAAATGACTGCTTGCCATGGAATAAAACTTGGAAGCCATCACTCATACCAGATGAACAAATTAACTTGTTACCTTTAGGAATTTTGTTAACCCTAGCACCATTATTTTAATCCCTCTTATCTATTTAAAGCATGCAAAATCATACTTGTGCTTACTCCGTTTAAGTTGCTCACAACAGATTCAGCATCCAGTCATTACCTGAAACTTAAATATTCATACCAACTCACAGGTAGAGACAATCACACTCACCCCCAAAGGCAATGATTGTGCAAAACACTAGGATAGGCTAATGACTCATTTCCTTATGAGAATATTTCCAGTGTGACAACACAATCCTAGGTTTTTTCTAAGTACCCTTCTTCCATGGTTGAGTACTTTTTCAAAATGCATCCAACTCTAATTAAACTGTGCTGTTCTGGACCGGCTGTTTCTCTCTATAGAACATGCTATTTTACTGGAATTCCTTAATTCCGAAAAACGGAAGAGTAAATGGACTAGAATACTTGTTCTATTTAAGATACTGTTAAATTTACCTAATAACTTCAGGACAAACTGAGAATATGCATGGATATGCATAACCTTGTCTTCTTAAAACAGCTTTCATGCAGAACCAGACTGCACACTGCCAACACACCTGGAACAACCTGAACACCTCCACACAAGAATTTTAGGGTAGCATGGAATTTTCCCCATTTAGATGAAGCCACAGACAAAGCAGTGGGTGAATAGAGAATGTTTTCTTCAAAAATCATAGTTATAAGGCTTGCTCCAAGCAGAACTTCAAGGAAATCGTACCTTGGCTCTTGGCAAACCTGACCATCATCTTGACCATACTTGCCACAAGCAAGGCCAGCCACCATATGACACATGACTATTCTTGTTCTTTATTGGCACTTGCCAACATACAGACAGCTGGCAAAATAACCCAAAAATACAAAGGGGTTTTTCTACTATTATCTCAGGGTGCACCTTTATTTGGTGTCAATGATGAGATAATTTTTTTAAAGTTGATCAAAAAACTGGTGTCTTGCTGTTTAATTAGTTCCATTTCCTCACAAAAATGGATGAAGGAAGGCAGAATGAGAGGTGGACACAAAGAGACAGGCTATCCACTGAAAACTGAATTATCTAAAATCCTGAAAGCTATTACTAGTAAGTGAAATATGGCATAGATGTAAGAATGCCCAATTCTTCCCTTTTACTGGTTACCTAGTTACATCACAACCTTCCATCTAATTCTAATTAATAGATTTTCTACTCTACAGAAACAGTAAAAAATACACCATCTCTTCAAATGTTAACAAAATTTCAGCCCCTAACTAGGAAGAATAATTTTATTTCTTCTTGAAATTAAGGTAGAATATCAGCACCTTACTAGTTTTCCATAAATCCCTTCTGACTAAATCTTAGAAGGCTTTTACATGGTCTCTTAATAGGTAAATATACACTTTTTTATCCCTGTTCAGAACTGGAAATCTGTTTTCTGACTATTAGCTTAGGAAATCAAAAATAATTAAAATTTAACATGAATGTTATTCCTTTAAGTAGATAATGGGTTCTCTCTTTCAGCTTCTCAGAAAGTACTCAGGCTACAAAATCTTCCCCTAAAAGATTTCTTTGGCTCCACACACTTTGTCTATCCCATTCTTTCTAAAATATTATTAGCAGAACTTACTTGCATATTGGAAAAATCCTATAAAAATAAAAACCTTTTTATAAGCTTCAATGACCAAGAACAATGCTGCGACAAAAATTCCTTATGTAAGTAAAACCACCATTGTTCCCCTTTCTGAATCCATTAGAAGCATGCAAGTTGTGGGTAAAGAAAGCAATGAATAAGAATTGGGTTGAAGCCCTTCTGAAATTAGATTATTAGGAATCTTAACAAATGAATCACTAAAACCTTCCATTAAGAGTGAGGTCCCTTGTGTAGCACAGGGAGCTTCACATTTTGCTTAGAAAAATCTGAAGATTACAGTCCTATTAGAAATATCACAGATGGCATATACAGATCAGTCTATGCTAACATAAACCCACACTATTTATTTATTTATTGTATTTCATTTCCTGCTGTCTAACAAGTCTGTCACTTTCAAAGCTGTGTGGTCTGTATAACTCACAGTTGCCTATAATCAAAAGAGGAAAAAATGGAGGATGTCTCCACCAATCTATAGGTAATATGTCCCATGACATGTAAGTAATGTCTAGAAAATCCATTCAAGCAATTTTTAAAAGTCAAAGGGTAGATTTTATGTGTGGACATTCATACAAAATTTCCAATATTATCAAGGAATCAGAAAATTATTAATTATGCAACTACACAATTGCAATGTGATACCATTAAAATATCCTATTTTGTATACTGTGTTTCAGTACAAGAGACAGAATGCTTACAAAGCATGTTTCATCCTCACAAAGCTCTAAAAGGAGTAATGAAATCTCATAATGTGTCTTATGTATCACAAATGATAGCTCTGAGTTTTTAGCTTAGATCCTTACCCAAACCTCTCACTCCTAAAAGCCTTCTTTACCATAAAAAAGATCGCAGACATGCACATACTCTGAACATGCACTTCTAACTGTGAGAAAAGTTCCTTGGTTTCAACTCATGCTGTTGTTCATCAGCACTGTCAGGCTCAGCTGCTTTCACCTGCAAATATCATGATAACATTAAAAAAATATACTTCTTGGTAAGGGAAAATAGAAGGCCTCTGACTTGTTTCGTCCCATTTTTTTTTTGCCCAGAATTCATACATTGCTTTTTACAAGAGTCCAACATTAAAAATGAAAAAAAAGCACAACAGCTCTTACATTTCTTCATATGATATAAATGCTACACTTGTATTTGAAGTTTAGGACACACCAGAAAGTTTATCCTTGCAAGCAATAATAAGTGGCAATAAAAAAAAAAATTAGACTTGTGAGAAGCTTTTATATTAGAACATGAGATGAAGGGACAGCAAGTTTGTTTCAGTGGATAGCATGAAGATGACAAAATCTCGTCTTCCTATTAATACAGTATATTATTCTAGAGGAATCTATTCCAAGTACTTTTGAATTTGTACTTTCAACCACTCTCAAGTGAGTTAATAACTAGAATCATTAGTGTTACTCCCATCTGACAGTCAGGTTTGTTTGTTTATTTCTAGTTGTCTCTGGCAGAATGACATGGTAATGAATAATGTACAAAGTAGAGAGGAGATGCTTAAGCTTATTATTGTATTACCATCATACTTTCAGCTACTGATAGGAAATACTATCTAAAGTAAATGATACCAAAACAAGGTTTTTCAGCAATATGCTGCATTTATTTCTATAGCTCCTCCAAGTTGCTGCTGTTTCTTATACGTCACTTTCTGAAACACAGGAGGCAGGGATTACATTTACGGCCAAGGCATTTTTATAAATTATGTAAATTGTCCAAAATGAGTGCTGGAAATGAAACAGTTCCAGAACAGACAGAAGACTAAAAGCAATTCTTCTCTGGTGTACTTTATATGGATTATATATGGAAAAAACTTGTTAACAAGTGAAGCAAGATAGTCAGAAACAGCTGATGTACTGAGTAGGAACATGGTTTTTGAAATTTTGAAGAATCGGAGTTTTCTATGGACTCAGGAGAGACCAACAAAAAAAACCACTTATCTTTATCACTTTTCTAATTTGCTAAAGTAACATTGCAAAGTCCTTCAACTGTAACCATTTACAGTACAGTACAGGTTTATCTAAGCTCCCATTAAGAGAATCAAGAAAGAAAATCCTTTCCTACTCATTCACAACTCCATTAGCATATTTATTTTAGATCCATATTAAAAACTATTTCATTCACATACATATGTTTAATTACAATTCTCCTTTTTTCATTGCTGAAAGTGGTTGAGACTCATTCTAAACCCAAGATACTTTTTGCAGGATTAAAGAACACTCCACTAAATTACTAATTTACTAATGTGGATCTTTAACAGTTTCCCAATGCTTATTTTAATAGAGCACTGACTTGGGTTAGGAAGAAACATCATCTAAACTGAAGACTGAGCATTGTGTATGCAATTATAAGACAGCAAAAATTAAAAAAAAAAAAGAAAATCAAGGCAAACACTAAAAGATAATCAAATATAACATTGCCTACTACTGTGATGGAAAGTCTGTATTTG